TTTTATTTTTCTTTAGTAAATTTGGTATATATTTTTTCTTTATAAAAAAGTAAAAGATAAACTATTCTGTCTAGATCTAGACAAGAGAAGTTTATAAGAAGTGATAAGTAGTCATAACAGGCTAGTAGATCCTAGCTAGTGAATTGTAGATCTAAAATCTGAGATAAATCTAGAAGAAGCAAGAAGGCTGCTTCTGCTCTGGCAAGTCATATATAAGTCTAATTGGAAATTAGATAAATTACACTTTAGTATAAAATAGTTTGGCTATAATTATATATTTAAATATAAAAATTTATTCTGTTTATATTAAATAATAAAGTTGTAATATGACTACTTATTAAAATATATATATATATATATATATATTATAGAGTATATTTATTGTCGCAGATCATGATGAAATCAAATTAAAATGAAACTAGGGACTTTTTTTGCTTATCTTTAAAGCTTATAAAACCCATTTATACTCTTTTATTAATAAAACTAACTCTAAACCCTAACTCTAACACTAACTTTAAAAAATATTATTTAAAAAATTTTAAATTTTTCTAAAAAAATAGAAAAATTTTATTTTAATTCAATTTTATTTTAATATATCACATTTATTAGAGATATTAAAATACTTATATAAAACCTGCTTAAATAGGTTTAAAATACAAACTTTTATAGTTTGCTTATAAATTTTTTAAGTACTACTTAAAAGCAAATATGCTTTTAATACTTTAAACTTGCTTAAAGCAAATATACTTTAAATTAGCTTAAAGCAAATAACTCTAATAAAACTTAGAATTATTATATAATTCTGATCATTGGTTCACAAAATATTGTTGTTCATCAAATTAGGAACTATATCAAATTAGGTATATATACCTTATATGAAAGTTTAATTTTTTGAATTATAATTATTTGAGATTTTTTTTCCAAGATTTAAATATTAAATTAATAATATGGGGGTGAGTTAATAGAAAAGAGACAAATTTTTTCTAAGTAAAAGTTTTCTTGACTTTAGGCTTAAATATCTTGGCAATTATTTTATCAAATTTAATAAATTTTTTTATTTTAATTCTATATAATTTCAAGATTAAAATAAAAAAATTTTTAGCAAATTTGATTAATTAGTTGTTGAAATATTTTAATTTAAAAATTAAAAAAATTTCACTAAAAACGATTTGTTCCTTTTTTATTGACTCCTCCCTATATATTAATATATTGTTTTTTCAATATTTCATATATTGGGTTATAGTTCTATCAGAATTTGTTTTTTTAGCATTTTAAATAATTCAAATAAAAACAAGTTTAGTTTGTTTAAAGAGAATAAGCCAAATCATCCACTTTTTTCAAAAAATTTTGGAGAAGACTGACAAAAGTAAAAAAGACTTACTTATAGAAGAGACTACCAGCACCTAATAAAAGTATTTTTATCTTTGAAAAAACCAATAACTAGTAACTTTTTTTCTAGAAAAAGGGAAAGACAACTAACTATACTTGCTTATTGGTGAGTAATAAACTCTGAACTTGTTAGCAAGTAGCATATAAGAACTACTTCTAAATAACAAATACTATAAATATGGTAAGTAATTAACTCTAAAATTGTTAGCAAATAGTGTATAAGAACTACCTCTAAATAACAACTGCCAACTTATAGTTTCTAGTTTATACTCTCTGTTACTTACTAGTTACTGTGTTTTTACAAAAAATTGATTAGAAAATTTTGGTTTTAGTGATTGTCAAAAAGAGTTTTTTTTTTTTTTTAATTATAAGAGTGTAGCATCCACACTTAGATTTTATTTAATATTTAAATGATTAATATATAATGGTGCCAATACATATACATATTACATCAAGTACTAAAACTAGGATATTAGGTATACAAACCATTTATTCACGGCTAAACCCCACCAAAGCCGACCGTATCCCCACTAAACAGCTAACCTGGATTTATACATCTCTTCCTAACTGCTAATTAGTATTCATATATCTGCCACATTATCTACAAACCATTTATCTTCAACTTCCAAATTGGTGTGTACCAGGTAGGCACTTATTGCTTCTAGTTTGGTGTGCCTGTCAGAGAGATTTTCTCCCTCAATCCCTACTTAGCGTACTTCCAGGAGTTCGTATTTCAAGCCATGCAGCTGCCTCTACCCAAACAGATAAGTATCTCAAGTCTGCATGCTGCCGTAACTAGCTGGTTTCCTGTGATTTTCAGGACCCAGGTCTTAATATATCCAATTAGATCTGTGCTAACGACTGTACTTCTCAATATGATAATGAGGCTGTCTAGGCATGTTTCGCAAATACTTCCAGTAGTCAGTATAGTTGGAGGGTATCATGAGGCTTAGAGGTAACAGGTGTATCATCATTTCTTTTTATAGTGATTCTTGGCAGTTGTAGCCTTCGGTTACCACTACATACGCTTACACCAGCTCTACCTATATTGGTGATCCCGAGTCCTTTTAATGCCAAAGGCTCCCATATGGGTATGACAAGAACCTGTTAAGTCTATTAACACATATATGTCTCCATGCTTCAACTTCTTATTGGCCGGTAAGTTCCATATGTGCCAAAGGTGTTCCGAATCTGGTAAGGCCAATTCTTTACCACAGGTCCCTTTGTGTTCACCACATTTCTTATCACTTTCCAATTCTGGTTACCACCTGGTTATTCTCCCAAACAAGATCCCCAATGCCGCCTTAGGGGTTGTTGGTACTACCTTGCCAATTGCAGATTTATACACACAACCTTTGTGTAATAGAACCTTCTATAACAACCACCATTACACATAGTGCTAACTACTCCACAATGGACCCCCTTCCGGAAATTCCTAATCCAGACTTGTATTCACTTGGACTTCCCACAGTAGATACTTTCAAATATTCATAGGTAAATGTACCTACTAGGACTTGAACCCAAAACCCACTCATGGAGGGTTGGGTGCCTAGACCACTAGGCCGTGGGATCCCAACCCCATTGTCAAAAAGAGTTGAATGACATAGTTTATTATTTTTGTTAAAAAGATTTTTTTGTTGTAATTTTAAAACAAGAGATTATTAAAAAATTGTATTATAACAGTAAATTTGTAAATCTTTATGTTCTTTTTTTAACCCCAAGTATCTTGAAATTTACCAAGCCAATTTTAATAATTTAACTATTATTTAGAGCTAGAAAAACTTTTTATTTAGTAGAACCTTCTTTAATCTTTAAAAATTATTTTATCTAGTTATATTATTGAAAAGTGAGTTAGTTATTTGACTTAAAGAACATAGTAAAGAATTGACCAACTTGAAAAAAAGATTCCCATCCCTCTACTTAAAATAAAAAACCAACCCTTTAAACATAAGATTAAAATTTAAAGAAAAGGTTTAAATATATATTTTTAAATAAATTCAATTTAACTAATTTTTTTGCAAAAATTTATATATAAAATTAGGTGTGTTAACTCATTTAATTTATAAGTAATAGCATTTAGTTGGACATGTTCTATGACTATTATTCAATATTATAGGTGTTCTAGTTGGGGATGAACCGGTTCTAAAAGACCGAATAATAATAATAATAAGGGTCGATCTCTAAACTGATCTTACCGTTACGGTTATCTAGTCTCCGGTCTAGAAATCAGTTTAAAAATAGCACATGATCGATTATGAGATAAAATTTTTTTAAAACTTAGTTGACGATATCATCAAACTTGATGACCCTTTTTTTTATTTGAACTCTACAAATATGTAAATTCAAATAAAAAAACTTTTATTAGTTTTGTCAGTGGTTGTTAAGATATTGTCAATTAAAGTTTAAAAAAATTTATAATATAATGTCTAAAGTGACATTTTCCTTTGGCAGTACTCATATGATTTAATTCTCTCCGCTAGTCAATAAGATGGTTAGAGGTTAGAATGATCTATTATAGTTCTAGTCGTTTTGGTAACAAAGTAACGTAGAAAACAAAGAACAAACTTTCCGTGTAACCCTTTATCTGTTATGATAGCGTTAGCAATGAAACAAAGAAAAATGCAATTTATTAAACAATTATAGACCAACACTATGAATCTGTTCGTTTCATTATTATGTTAATAAAGCAATATTAAAAATAAAACAATGTTTTTTAGAATTTATCAGATTGGAGTGAGCATAGTATTTTTTATTTTGTATGCTAGCGCGGATTTAATCCGCTAGCCAGAATTTGTGGCGGATTTCACCCTGTTGTAATTTTTATCATTTTAGGACGTTCACAAGCACCTCCCTCATGAACTCAACAAAGAATCTGATCTGTCTGATCATATTCCTTATTAGAAACACTTGATAGCTAATAGTCATGATTTGTACCCAAAAGGTAAGTTAAGGATTAATCGAAACAGTACCGTTATGCTTTGGAGAATATCCGTTGTTTTAAAACATTGAAGATTGGAAAATACATCTCAATAATAGTCATCATTTTTTCGAAACTAATGATTTGATTGCTAACCACCACGTGAAAACATGAATTTTGTGTAGTATTCGGTCACCTTAACTTCAATGAGAATCTCAAATTATTAGATGTTACGGCAATGTTGATGTTGCTTGATTTTCTGATCATGTACTTAGGATAAATCAATAAATCATTATAGTTTTATTGGTTTTTTTCATATGGTAATATAAATAATAATAATGGGTAGAATCTATGTTTTTTGAGATAATCAAAATTTTCGTGTTTTGATTGGTTAATGATATCTGTAATCTCCACGTGATCTAATTTTTTTGTTATATAAAAAAAAATCGGGGATTTTTTTCTATCCACTTAACTTTAAAAATCTTGAACATCAAATAAATTTATATTATTAAAAATATAGCCCGGGCAGTTTGGATTTGGAAATACATTTTTTTATTATTTTGTTTAACATACAATTTTTTTTTAGAATTAATATGTATATGAACAATCGTTCAGCATTTGATATCTGTAAACTCGTGAAGAAAATTATTGCTCGATATGTATTTTTTTTCATTAGTTCTCTCCGAAATTATGCTTATTTATGATCTTTGATTTCTTGTATATGTTTCATTTTTATTTCTTCAGCATCAACCATTTCTCTCCATAAATCGGATCCTACGGGTATCTTGGGTTGTTTTGGAGACATAGATAAACCAGCTGTCGCAAGGACCATAATGATGGTCAAAGCTTGTGCGTACATACGTGCTTGAACTAGCTTCTGGGGAAAGGTCAAGTACCTTGATTGAGTGGGTACATGAATTTAATTCTTGATCAAACAGTAAATAAAAAAAAATTCCAAATAAAACTTACTTATTCCTGTAAGTATAAGCGAGGGATCCGGCCATACATAAAGCCCAACTTCCACAAACAATACCATATCGATTTTCACTAATGAAATCTTTAACTACCTGAGTGGTTGGAAGTTTCTGATGTAATTCTTTAACAGGCTGATAATAGCCATATTTTTTTCTCTCATAATTTAAGCTAGCTCGTTCTGCACTGATAATACATACTGCTGTTGATCCTGTAAAATAAATAAAATTAAATAAAATCCGAGGTTGAAACGAAAGATAATTGGTATAATAGTTACCGTAAGAAACCAGGAAGGCTTTGAGCGGTAATGTTAATTTTTGATAAAAGGGAGAGTAACGTTGGGCAACAAGAGAAAGTCCCAAAGAAACACCTAAGCCGATCACGGCACCTTTTAAACCACCCTTAACCGTGGCACGATAATGCTCTATTGATATAAACCAAATATTAAGAGCTATATGAATGATATGAATTAATGGAATATTTTAATTACCTTCTTCTTCTTCCTTAGTAAGAACTTTCATATTGTTTTTCTTGGATGTTAAATAATTTCTTCAAAATTTACGCGTGCTTCAAGACATTATAAATACAATTTTAAAAAATTGTACGTATACAGTACGTAAAATGGGTTTGTAATATTATGAGTCATTTGAATGGTAACTGCTGATTTTCCCGACAGTCCATTTATCCATTTGTCCGACATCACATAGGGTTATGCAGTTATACCGGTATAATAGAAAATAAAAAAATGGTAGTATGATACCAGGTATAATACCGTATAATATAGTACAGTAGTAACCATTATCGTTATGCTCTCAGCTTAATATGGTTCGGAATTTTTCGGAATTATTCTAAGGGAAATGCAGATGAGGCAATTTAATTATTGTACGTATAATACGCAAATGCTATATAAAACTTGTATGATTAGTTGCATATATCGTCACCTGCGTGATGTCGAGTAAATGACCGTCGGGGAAATGATCATAATTGATCCAGTTAGACAGAAGTTACACGCATTAGTATCAAAAACAGAGATGGAAATTTTCATATGACGGCCAAGTCCGAATTCGATATTAGTCATTATACATTTCCGGAAATGTCCGATAAAATCCGTAATTTCCCAATCCAAGAAGTTTGCATTTGTCCCAAAGCAAAAATCACTACTATATAGCTATCATTAAGGTGCAGAAATACATATTTGTCATTGCGTTATATCTCACCGTAAAGACGTGTTTGATGTTTTTACATATATTGTATTTCTGCATCTATAATCATGATTCCGACAAGTATTATTTTTTGACAAGACATATTTCTGATAACTCAAGTTTCACCAACGTTTTTTTTCCCGATCAAACTAATTTCTCGACAACCTTATTCTTCAACATGAAGTATAATAATAGTCTATAGTTTTAATGTTTAGTACTGTAGCAGTTAAACAACTTATCATTATAAAAATGAGATACCGTACTCCTCCGAAAATAAGCACCCCCGGAAGTAGGCACCCATATATACCCGAAAATCAGCACCTCTTATACGTATCAGATATATAATAGAAAATCATTAGGGGTTTCAAAGTTAAAACCAGAGAATCTTATTTTATTTTTCGATTTATAATACAAAAATAGTAAAAATGCTATTGAAAAATCCTATTTATTTTTGAAATGTGTCACTTATTTGTTAACTTTGAAACCCCGATTATACCCAAAAATAAGCAAAAAAAAGGGTGCTTACATCACGAAGTTATAAATAAATAATAAATCTAGATGATTAACCCAGGTTAATCAATCTAAAAAAGCATTGAAAATCGGGGCTTCGTTAAACATTGCAATGTATAAAATATCAATATTCAATATACAATATGTTATTTAACTAAATAGTTAAATATCTAGTTGTATTATGCAATGATTATCTTTAAAGATATGATGTTTATTCTTTTAAATTAAACAAGTTGATTATTGATTTTAAAACTTCCTGATGTAAAGTTATAGAGCTCATCTTTGTGATTCTAATGGTAGTTAAATCATCTAAATTAGTTTAGTGGATGCTAAGATATCTTTAAAAAACATATCAATAACTATATAAAATCTCTATATAAACAATACATCATCAGGAAATTTTTTTTATTGCAGTTCTGTGCAGATTTGCAAAAAAATCAAATAATAAATCAAATAAAAATTTATGCAAAACTTCAAATTTGATACTATAAATGCATAAATTAAATGCAGATTGTTAAGGGTAGAGTGTTTACAAATTATTTTTAATAGTAATCATGTGACAAATAATATATATCATATGATATTATATGATTTATATAGATTCTATTAATCAAAATTAATTATTTTTGTAAATCTTCTTATAATATTGTGAAACAGGTTTTTATAGATTAGCTTAGTGTAGCACATAATTTAGATTCTATATTTTATATTATTTAGTTTATATTTATTAACTTGTATTTTATATCAGATATTTATTATTATATTTGTATAATATATTATTATTGATAAGAGTTAACAGAGACTTTATTAAGTAAAATATTAGAGTAGAGCCATTGTGGCACATACTATGGCTAAGGTAGTATCAAAGATAATACACAGCCTTCAACTCTCTCAACATGGTCCTCAAGTCCCTCAACTCCCTCTATTCTCTCAACACAGCCTTCAATTCTCTCAACATGGCTCTCAAGTCTCTCAACTCTTTCTATTCTCTCAACACAGCTTTTAACTTCCTCAACACAGCCCTCAACTCCCTCAAATACATATTACAATACTCTCAACTCCCTCTACTACCTTGGCTTGGCATGTAAAAGATATATAAAGAGTGCATTTGCCTCTTCTGCTCAATTTAGAGTTTATATTTCTCTCATAGCATTAAATACTTCTCTTATTCTCTTCTTTGTAAAGTGTAATATTTCCCCTTTAGGGTAATTCCTATAGGCAAAACTTATTACTATTTGTTATTTTAATAAAGTTATATACTATTACTATCTCAAATTGTCTGCCTCTTGCTAGTGAAGTAATCCAACTCTTTACTTCTACTCCATGTATATTTATCAAATATATTACTGCACTGGGTGACCTTGTTACTGTGCTATATTGGTACTAAGAAGACTATAGCATTGTAACAGTAAAAATTAACAACTTCTTGCAAAATTTATAGAATAATAATATAAAAAATATATTAAAATTTTTTGTTTATATTTATAAAAAGTTAAAACTCAGAGTGTAGTAACATAGCAAAGTGGTGGAGTTGTTGTACTCTCAAATTAGTTTGGCTATAGTACTGAGTTTGAATCTCACTAGCAATGGTTCAAATAATTTACTTGTACTATAGTAACAGCATATTCTAAATTAAGCTGAATTCATATTATCTGTAAACTAGAGCACACCAATGCCCTAATGAGTAGTTTAGAAAGTATGAAAGCATTTGTATTATTATAGAACATGTAAACACCTAGGAACATATTAAAGATTATGTTCTCAAAAGATCTGAAAAATTATAACAATCGTAACAAGCTACAATACATGTTAAATGGACTATCGAATAGCCAACAATTGAGAAACAAGGATAGATGATGGACAGAATATACCTTTCATACCTTTTGTACCTTTTGTATCTTTCATACCTTTTGTACCTTTTGTACCTTTCATACCTTTTATACCTTTCATACCTTTTGTACTTTTTGTACCTTTTATACCTTTTGTACCTTTTGTACCTTTCATACCTTTTGTACCTTTTATACCTTTTGTATCTTTTGTACCTTTTATATCTTTTGTACCTTTTATACCTTTTGTACCTTTGTACCTTTTATACCTTTTGTACCTTTTGTACCTTTTGTACCTTTTGTACCTTTTGTACCTTTCATACCTTTTGTACCTTTTGTACCTTTTGTACCTTTTATACCTTTTGTACCTTTTGTACCTTTTATACCTTTTGTACCTTTTATACCTTTTGTATCTTTTGTACCTTTTATACCTTTTGTACCTTTTATACCTTTTGTACCTTTTGTACCTTTCATACCTTTTTCCCTTTATAATAGAGTCATTTTTA